GGCGGCGGGAGCGGTCTCCGACATCGCTGCAGAGACTTCTTCCTAATCAAAAGAAAGTAATTGGGCTACAGTAACCCCGATGCCTGAATTTATAGCGAAGCGGTGATCTGTGATTGGTGCTTTGCAGAGCCCGCCTAACTGTTAGCCAGGAAGAGCTTTTCGTCCTCCGAGTCTGTGTTTCTTCGGAGTTATAAATTCATATTTTTTGTAAAATGCGTGCTACGAAATCACCCCCGTTTCTTCGGGGAGCGAAGAGAAGACGGTGGACTTTCATTCGGGGGAGTTTCTTGCTGTTGGGACCCCAGAGGAGAGAGAAAAGATGTGTTTAACCCCGCGCTGTGAAGCCAGAGAGACCCCGGGAACGGCAAACTTTTGTTTTTCCTTCTAAATTAAAATAAAACCCGTAGATAAAAAGTCTCCCCCGTAATGCAGGGTTATTCTTTAGGGGGTTTTCTCCAGATTAGGATAGAAACCGAGGGGGCAGCTTCAGTATTTTTGTCATAAATTGATTTCAAAGAGAAGGAAGTAACACAATTTCATGGCTGAGCTTTGAATATGGATAAAGATTCGGCTCCCTTAACCATATCTTTAACTATTAAGGATACAGTATTTCTACAGAATTTCTTGTTTTGGGAAAAGAAAAGACTTTCAGAGGGATTTTTATACTGTTGAAAAGTGTCTGGAACTTGCCAGGGCTCTGCATTTTTTATTCTGTTCTGTAAGTGAATTGCAAGATTTTGATATTTTTATGAATAGTTTCTGTTTATAAAATGAAGCTCTCAACGCCTAGTTAATGCATATAAATTCCGGATAAACTGCTAGTTTAATGCTTTTTCGGCTACAGTAGTGTATAATATTATTCTTTAAGACTTACTGAAGTCAGAAGCAAGACTTGTAGGGGAAAAATGTCAAAGGTATAGATACACTAATGTGTATCAGATGCTACTTAAACATTAATGGAGACAACTGAAGCCTCGGTTCTCCCCAGATAAATGAAATAATGTGCAAACCTGGCCTGCGTGAGCATAATGCTTCAGCCTCAATATTACCTATAAATATTTGGACACAGATTGGTGGGGCTTTTTTCTGGGGTTTTTTTGTGGGTTTTTTTTCCCTTCATAGGTTTCATAAAACCTGCCGTGCTGCCATGCTCTTCTTTAAAGGAAAAGGAAAACTCTCGCCAGTTTAGATTTTCATCCAAACCTTCAGAATACTGAAATAATTTTCAGACAATCCTCATAAATCAGAATCAGCTTTCATTATTACCATCCCACTTAATTACTAAGTCTCACAAAGTGACAACAGAAATTAATTATTTTTTTTTAGGACTGCTAGCACTGTTTGGGATAATTTTTGATTAAATCAGAAGACAAAACCCTCGATTGGCTTCTAATTAAAAAGCAGCTAGATTTTTTTTCTTTGGTTGAAAAGATCACATTAAGCCCGAACCTAATACTTGGCCCCATTGTACTTTGTAAAAACTTGTCATGCAAAGCATCAGTGGACTGTTTCAGCAAAGGACCCTCTTTTCTAGCACGGATGAATCTGATATTCTAGAAGCCAAATAGTACTTTCCAAAAGGCCCTGGCATTTATTTTCATACATTAAATGTTGAAGAGACAATTAGGTTTTACTTAATAGTAAGTAGCTTTAGTTGAAATGAGATAGATTAAAATGGCAAGGATAAATGAGATACGTTGGAATAACAGAAGTGAAAACAATGTCACTTTTTCCTATTCTCTTTTTAGTTCTATTTTTATTTTATTGTGCGTGCATGCAGGCCAGCTAATAAATACTTTGAAGGAGACAAGGAGAGGAAGGGAAAAGCAGAGAAAGGGAAAAATTAGGCTTTTCTGTATCCCGCAGTAAAAATCCGACTGAACGGGCTGAAATCTGCCACGCTCCTCGTGAATGTGGCGTTGGTCCCCCCTACAGAAATCAGACCAAATCCCCAGCAGCCATAGAGTTTGAAAGCGCAGGCTGGTAATTCAAATGAACAGTAGGAATATTTTTCTGGGAGGTAAAAAGGCAGTTAGTTACTGGTAACAAGATGAGGGCATTATGCTTATTTTCCAGGTTGGGTGAAGGGAGATGGCCACAAGGCAGAATCTGACTGTGGGTGACAGAAAAAGACAGAGCCGGGGGGGGGCTGTCATCTGTCCGGGACTGTTTAGTGTAATGCACGTTCTTCAGGGGCTGAGGACTGAAAGAAGCGTAATGTGCCTTTAATCTCTGTAGCTTTGACGATTTAGGGTTAGATCTCTACGACTCTGGTTTATTACACTTGAAACAGGTGGGGAAGCTGCGAGCAACTGGGAGTAGACGGCAGCTGCTGGTGCAAGAGAGCGGCTGTAGCCCCCGGGGGGGGGCCTTCCCCAGCCCCATCCCTCACATCCACACATTTGGGCAAGTTTGCCTTCAGGCTCGCTCTTTGCAAACCTGTTCTCCGTCCACCGGGCGAGGAGAGATTTCTTTCCCTCCCCTCGCCCCCCAACAGGCTGCAGGTTGGAGATAAAGACGGGAGGTAGAAGGAGGTGGGAGCAAAGCTCTCAGATCTTGCTCCCTAAGTAGCGGCAGTCACTTGAACTCCATCCTCAGGGGGTAGGGATTGCTGTCCCTACGGCAAAAGTTTTAAAGGGACAAGATCGTTTTTGTAAGGAAAGCAGATGAAGAAGGTACTGATCTGAGGATTTCAAGGAGCAGAATTTAAAACTTCTCCCACTTTTCGTTCTGGACGGGTCCCTGTAAATTTGCAGGTCCTTTAAGTTCCCTGCTCCCGGTGCTGAGTGTTTTGAATTGAACTTCTGAAGTTCGTTGTTTTTCCCTATAGTCTGAGATGCTGGAAAACTTGGCAGCTGGCCTCTGGCATTAGGGGTCAGCATCCTTTATTGTATCTAGTCCTCAACCATCAAACCAGCCCTGTTCTACACAAAGCATTATGCCTGGCCTGTTTCTGAGCGGTGAGAATTTTCCTGCTCTTACCAACCATTTCTGCAAAAGGCGATCTTTTTTCTTAAAGAGAGGGGCTTTAGAGATATGAGGTGGTGTGAAAATGGGAGGCTTTTGTAGGGTTATTTACTCCCCCACCCCCAGCCCCAGCAATGACGTTTTCTAGTTAATTGGATAAAATAAACTTGTCAGAAGCTCTGAATAATTTTCAGGTTTGCGTTGCTGGAAATAGCTGTTAAATGCAACACTGGACCAAAATAACAATTCTCAGTTTTTAGAGGGGCTAATCACCTTACAAATAACATTGATATTGCCCTGGGTGTTTTACAGATAAGATGAAAAGACAAAGCAAAGCAAGCATCCCAACACATAACTTAGCAAATCAGTGGTAGAGTATGGAACATTTTTTCAAGCTGACAGAGAAATTTTCTTACTGCACAGCAACATTACTTGAAAAAAAGAAGTTTTGAGAGTGAACTGGTAATAAAAATTGCTTACAATTGCCATGTGAAGAGAG